TGCTAGTTACTCATAAAATACTCTAATGAAGTGGTACCCAAATATTTTGTTGGCGGACTATCTAAATTAATAATAACCCCATCTCTCTCACAGTTAAGTAGTAGCAAATAGCATCATAAAATGCACAGTTTTAGCTACAAGTTCCGGGTACTCTTCAGTTCTCTGAATCATAAACTCTGATAGTGGATTTCTTTTAAATTCTGTCTTTAATATTCAATCGCAAGAAAGCTCCAACATGCATTCTTCTTCTTTTGTAGAGAAATCAGCAGAGAGGGCATTATTTTCCAATGCATGAAAAATCCAGAGTAATGAATACATTTTCCCATTTCAACTCAAAAGCCATATATAATGCGGAGTTTTAGACTTTTCCGCTTAATTTACATATATTCGTTTTGTTTATGTAGTTGTATTTTTAAGTCTCAAGTGTCAGGTTCACTCCGGAATCTACAAACTCTTCCTTTCAGTAATTATAAAACCTTTTTACACACCATCTGAACTGTGGTAAACGATCCACAGTTTGGGAACCTCTAATCCAAAGCAAGATGATTTACCTAATAGCAAATGTTAACTACAGCTTAACTAATAAGAAAATATCACTTTTTATTGTTTGTTTGTTTTGAATTTCGCGCAAAGCTACAAGAGGGCTATCTGCGTAATCCGTCCCTAATTTAGCAATGAAAGATAGCCAACTCTTAAGCTCATCTTTTACCAGCGAATAGTGGGATTTACCGTCACATTATAACGCCCACTTGGCTGAAAGAGACGGGAATTTGAACCTGCGACCCGTAGATTGTGAGTCGAGCGCCCTAACCACCTGGCTATGCTAGGCCCACACTTTTATTAACATGGAGGAATAACAACTCATCATTCTATCGTTTCATTCACTAATATAACATAAACACACGTGGCTATATAGATGTATTCTTAAGGTAAGCACATAAGTCTAAACGTTAGCTGTAGATTACATAATGTTCATAAGCAAATAATCTCTCATGAGATCGAACATGAAGTTTATTAATAATTAATAAAGACTTATGAAATATAGGAAATTTCACCCAACATGACTGTGTCCATAGGGTCCTCGCATTGGTAGAGACGACGACAAATTGGGAAGTGAACGTGATGGCAGAGAGCAAAGCCAAGTCAAAAATCAAACAGATATGACAATAGATGTTAAAAGTCGAGATCAAATGTGCCTATTCTCCCGGGATAACTACATATGTTCTAGGAAGCAGTAGTGTTATATAAGTATATTGACTGCAATATGTACATACCGTATTCACTAAATCATGTATATCTGTTTGTGTATGTGTGCAGGCCGTGTGATGAGCCAAGGGGTGGGTTGGTACATAGCAGTATTGTGGCTGCTACTGTGGTGTGTACACCATTGCCTATAGAAAAGATAACTTTTAAACACTTCAGGTTTTAATTAAGCATAAAGTAAGGATTTAATTTCGAAGATCACATTTTACATTTTGTTCTTTACTTTGTTGGAGTCAGTTTAATGTTGTTGTTTTTTTTTTCAAATTCACCAGTCTTTAACTTCACTAGCTTGGTAAATGCTTGAAGAAACTTACAGCAGGGTCTAAAATCATTCCACCGTCATGCTATGTATGTGGGAAATCTGAAAATATCCACACAACCCTGCTGAGACGTCGCGTATATAATCCGTAGTTAGTCATGAAGACACGGACCACGTACAGTTTCCATGAACATTATTTTGCGGGTCTTAGAAGTCATGTATAACATATTTATACATATATTAAGAAAATTAATCGGTGAAACATAAGTATTACTTGTATACTTGATACTTGTTTGATTCTTTTAATGGAAAATATGGGGATTGCTATTTGATAATTGTTAGTCACGTGATTTTGCTATGGGAAAAGCATTTAGTTCGAAAGTTATAGGTCCGGCATGGCCAGGTGGATAAGGCACTCGACTCGCAATCTGAGGGTCGCGGGTTCGATCCCCGTCCCACCAAACATGCTCGCCCTTTCAGCCGTGGGGGCGATATAATGTGACGGTCAATCCCACTATTCGTTGGTAAAAGAGTAGCCCAAGAGTTGGCGGTGGGTGGTGATGACTAGC